GCAACCGCTAGTAGAGTGTAGAAGGTTGATTAATGCTTCCTTTTCTTGTTTATATAATTTTAATGCATCTTTCCTAAGAGTAGTTCTAGAAAAAAATTGTGCATTAGGATTATGTACAATTTTAATCTAACGTTGCCAATTTCTTTGTTCAGTAAAACTTAGTGGTTGATCTAATGTGGCTATTAATCGTGTCATTTCCATACGATCAACTTGCGGATCGTATTTACATGTGCTTAGACCGTCGGTTTGGCGGTCAAACGATAATTGCGTTTGGTGGAGATCAGCTCCGCCTCCTTGCTTTTGAAGACACTTTTCAGAGTGTCTTCTTAAGTGTGTAGTGCCGTGAATAGTGTTACCTTATAATTTCTCACCACAATATTTACATTGAGCTATGTATTTAATGTTACCGTTATTGTCAACCTTCTCGAATGTGTTGAAGTGCTCCCAAACTGCTGAGGTGCGCTTGCATTTCTTCTTAGAACTTGCAACACTTGCACTAGCACTACCGCTTGCCTCTCCTCCACGGCCACTTGTGCCACCACCATTACGTCCCCGACCTTTAGTACGTCCACCAGGGGTCAGATTTGCAGTTTCATCAGTAACTCTTTCCATAGTTTGCGATTCCTGCATTTGAAAAACATTAGAAAATTGCCCTTCTTCGATGTTGAATTGGGCATCAATGGGAATATCACCACCATAACCAAAAGAAGCCAATATGAAAAATAAGAGAGATTGAGAGAGCTTAAGAGAGATCGAGATTCAAGAGAGATTTAAGCGAGATTAAGAGAGATTTGAGAGAGATTAAGAGAGATTTGAGAGAGATTAAGAGAAATTGAGAGAGAATGAGAGTTTTTGTTTTCTCATTATATTTTGATATTTAAGACGTAAATCTTTAAAGTGGTTGGGGGGAGGGGGGGTATTTATAGAAAAAATTTTGGGTTGAAAAAAAAAAAATTTTCCCCAAAAATTCGGGTCCAACAGCTACTATATTTTTGGGCAATTCGGGCAAAAATTGGGCAGGTCGGGCAACGATAAAAAATCCGATCGTTGGGTTCAAATTTTTGGGCAAAATTCAGGTTCGGGCAAAAAGACCCGTTTTTATTTAAAATTCGGGCATTTTTCGGGCAACGGTCAAAAAATTTCAGGTAAAAATCGAGCAACTTCGGGTATTGCCAGAAAATTCAAAAAAATTCTGACGAACAGCGGGGGACGACTTCTCCATGGCGGCAGGCTGTCGGGGATTATATTTTCGGGCTACCCAAGCTCGTGCCCGAAAAAAACCGTGGTCGAGCGGTGAGAGGGCCCTGCCCGCCGCCTAAAGTTTCAGCAGTGGTAATTAGTAAAAACAATATGAGAAGAATGATTAATATTTTTATAATAAAAAATACTGTAATAAAAAAATAAAATTTAAATTTAAATTTTTGTTAAATAAATTATTTAAACAAAATTTTAAGTTGTGAAAGAACAAGATCAATTTATAATTTTCAAAAAAAAAATGTTATTATATTTTAGGTGGATTTATTGAGACCCTCATTATACTTTTCACACACATTTTTAAACTTTTCCTATTGTATTTGTTATAGTTACACCCTTCTTAAAATTTTTAAAAAGTTCTTACAACTAAAATTACCACATATTTTATTTTTTACACACACATTTTTAAACCATTTTTATTCTACTTGTTATACTCCTTTTAAGTTTCTTTTTTTAAAAAAAAAAATCCTTACAACTAAATTGTATTATTTTTCTGGGATTTATTATGGTGGAACCGAATAAGTAGAGTATTACTTTTTTAACTGTTGGATTAATTTTTTTAACAGTCAGATCTGTGCAGGTCCGTATTAAAAATTCACAGCACGCTACATATAACTGCTCTTGCTACAGATCTAACAGTTAAAAAAGGAATCTAACGGTAAAAAAAAAAACAGTACTCTACCGGTGGAGCACTTATTGGGGTTTCACCATAAAGAATCCCTATTTTTCTATGATAAAATTCAAAATGTTCATCTTTTCCTTTTTCTAAGAGTAAAGTGTGCTTTTTTTTTTTCTAGAAATACTTTATGTGGTTTTATTTTTTTAACTTTTTCTATAGTGAGACCCGCTAAAAAATCTATCAGTAGAACACCATGTTTTGATTGTTGGATTACTTTTCTAATGGTCAAATCTATAGAGGAAGCAATTTTGTGCGACACGCTGTAAATATTTAATACGGGCTTACGTAAATCTGATCATTAAAAATTTAATCCAACAGTCAAAATAGAATGTTTTACCAATAAATATTTTTAAAGAATCTCACTGTGGAAGCTCCCTTATTTTTTGCACATGTTCTTGCTTACATAGAAAATTTGATCATGTGTGCTTCCATTGAAGATAGTCACACTTTTGGTTATGTTGAAAAAAAAACCCTTATAACATAAGATCACAAGTGTTATTAATGTCAAACATTAGTAAGTGATTAAAAATGTAAAGATCTCAAAATAAACCGAATCATAAAAAAATTACCATGGAAAAAACTATATATATATTATGTATTATATCTAAAATATTTCTAAAAACTTTCTATATTTAAACTATACTCTCATATGTTTTTGCCATGTAGTTTGATTTTCACCAAAAAAAAAAACACTAAAGTCTCGTTTACTTCGCAGATTTGAGTTTTCAAGTCGAGCTGAGATGTGACATTTTCTAAAAGCTTTTCACTGTAGCAGAAAAAGTTAGATGTGAAATTTTTTAAAAGCTTTTTACTGTAAAAACTTAAAA